GCAGGATTCGGGTAAGTTTCCCCAGCTATCCGACGAGTGGTATATGGGAGTCCACTTCACAGCGCAGCAGCATGTAAATAATGACCAGGCTACCATTGAGCGGGTGGCCGATATGGCCTTCGTGTATTACGAGGCCGCCAAGAGAAGGAAAGACATCCCCCAGAAGCTGTTCATTCACAACCAGCACCATATGCAGGCCGCCGTGGACTCCCGTCTGCCAGCGGTGCGGCAGCACCTTGAGGGCCTGGCCAGCCTGAGCTCGGCTCCAGTGCTTGCCCGAGTTGCTCGCAAAGCCTTGGCCGTTGCGAATGTTGACATCAGGTTGAGCACAAGACGGTCCACCACGATGATGATGCAGGCCATCGAGGCAAATGCAGACGGTCCTCTGCAAATCGACGCGTCGGGCCTGGATCCTGGCAACCCGTGGAGGGACCTACGATTCACGCATGTATCTCGCACAGATCCAGGGCAGGCTCCGTCAGATAATGGAGGGCCCTTCAGGGTTAACCAGAGGCTCGAAAAGTGGACTGCGAGGAACAGATGGACACTGAGAGTGGGGCAGGGTGAAGCCAGCCAAAGTAACGAATCTGAATGGTTATTGTGGAGCCGGGAGGGCTCAGCTGCCGACCAACTCTCCATCGATGGTGGTTGGAGTTGGCTGAAGTGGAGTGGCTGGTGTGGACCCTTGGGTAGCTTCATCTCCCAGGATCTCCGCACCATCATCGAGGTCTCTACCAGTGGCTCCTAGCTCGAGGTAGGCAAGACGGCGTCGACAGAAACCGCCGGAGTTCCGCGCGGAGTTCTTGGATCGGCGCTGGAGGCACCGCCGGAGGGGCCCCAGCGCCCACCCAGGAACTCCGCGTGGACCTCCTAAAGTTGATGCCCCTTGGCATCGCTCGGACGTGTGCATTTTTTTCCCTCGGCGAGAGCCATCGAAGAGCATCCTTGATCCTTTGGCGAAAAAACCACGCACGAAACCGACAAAAACACACAAAAAATGGACGTCCGAGCGATGGCGAGGCCCATGCCGTTGATTCTTCCCCTGCCAGCGGACAGGAGCCGGCACCGCGGGGAGAGCCTCGGCGAGGAGGCTGCTGCTGTCCCGGGCTCGTGGGCGAGAGCCTGCCCAGAGCCCGAGCTGCGCCGCGGGACCCAGACCTCCTCGCGTTGTGACCTGGCATCGCTCGGACGTGTGCATTTTTCCTTCGGCGGGGACCATCGAGGAGCATCCTTGATCATTTTGAGAAAAAACCGCGCAGGCAACCGAAAAAAACACAGGGAATGGACGTCCGAGCGATGGCCAGTCACGACGGGAGGTTTTTCCCTGTTTTCGGCCTCCGAGGGCCCTTCCTGGGCCTCGGAGGGCTACTTGCCTGCTGGGCCACCTATCGTTGACTGTCGCCTCTTCGCACCTCTGTCATTGGAACCTGTCACTGGCTTAATTTGTTGTCAGTGTGGCTAAGTCCGCGCATGCATCCCGCACACGATTTCGAACATTTTCAGCAGGAGCGCTGCAAGCCCAGATCTTGAAGTCCGCCCAGCGCAAAAAAAGCTTCCCGGGCCGGTTCCGGACCTAGACCTCTGGGGGTCGACGCTGTGAAAAAATCACGAGGTCCGGGGTCTGGGAAGATAGTGCCTTGCCCACCGCCGGCGTTCTCTCCGAAATCAGGCTTTGACTCAGCGGTTCGGCAGCCAAACCGCACCACCGGGGTGAGTGTAACCCTCTGAGGTCGACTGCACGTAAGAGTGACCCTTCGCTGGAGTGACCTTTGGTGCGGGCCCACTGGGGTATCCAACTCGCCGAACGCGATGCGATAGTCGTCTTGCGCCTGTGGCGTTGGCCCCCCACCCAGCGGCCCCCCGAAAGCCGCGCCCCAGAGGTCACTCTTGCCTGGGGCCACTCCTGCGCGTAGCCGACGAGGGCACCCAGACAGCCTCGCCTCTCGGCCCCATCCCAGACCTCCGACGTCGTGACTTCTCTGCAGCGTCGACCCCTAGAGGTCTGGACCCCTTACCCGGGACCGGCGTTTCGTCCCGAGTCGTCTTCTGACGGCCCTGAGGCCTGGGAGGGGCCCCTGGAGGCCGGAAATAGCGAAGAAAAGAAGGAGGAGGAGGAGGAGGAGGATGAAGATGATGATGATGGTGCTGCTGCTGCTGCTGCTGCTGCTGGTGATGATGATGATGATGATGATGATGATGATGATGATGATGATGATGATGATGATGATGATGATGATGATGATGATGATGATGATGATGATGATGGCACTGTCTTTGACTGGAATGAGGGCGGGTGGAAACTGCGAGAGTGGGAAGCGACCGCGGCCCATTTTTGCTCAAAGTTTTTGAGGCGTCGCACCTCGGATGGTGCTCCCAGACTATCTGAGCGACCTTCTCCAGTCGGGCGCGCGGGAGATAGGCCGCGGCGCGGTGGCTGGCGTGGTTGCCAGCTGGACCGCGACTGGCGGTCAGTCGGAGCCCTGCCCGCTCCCACCGCCCTGTCCGCCCGGGCCTGCCTGCCCCAACCTGACCTGCCCGGAGCTGACTTGCCCCGAGGCGGTCTGCCCGGCGTGCCCGGCGCTGATCTGCCCTGAGGGGCCGCCGTGGGCGCTGCTTGCCGCGGCCGTCGTGTTCAACGTGGTGGTGGCAGCGGTCGGCGGCTTCTGTGCCGGCGCGCGACGCGGAGCTCGTCAAGATGCTGGTGGCAGCAGGATCAGGCGGCCTGCCCTCCGGGGTGGCGGCTTCATTGAGAGGGCTGATGCCGGGCAGTAGGATCCTGGTGCGCTACGTGGACGCCGGCGAGGACCTCCTGCACGAGCGCGTGTGCCTGTGGCCGGTGAGCTTCGAGGAGTGGATCACGGAGTCCCCTGATGGCGACCAGATGCCTGAGCGTCTGTCAGGCCCTGACGTCGAGGAGTTCATCGTGCTGGCGCCTGGTGGCGGGGTGCCTCGGCACGTGGCCTCGCCGAGGTACCGGTTCCGACGAGAGATCGGCGCCCGGGAGCTCCGCGTGAAGGTGATCGAGGCTCGGCACTTGGCGCGCCAGGCGCTCGCCGCTGGCGAGGCGCCGCTGCCCGCGCCGCTTCGCACGCAGCAGTGGGACGGGCGCGTGCTGGCGCTGGAGGACTTCTGGCGGCTTGGAGGTGCTCCTGCCCGCCGCGGGCGGGGTAAGGCGCCACCGATTGTGCTGGATGCGCCCGACGACGAGGACGACGACAAGGGGGGCACCCAGACCCCTCCACCCCGAGAGGAGGCTGTCGCCGCCGAGGCGACCGCCACCGTGGGGGACGAGAAGGACTACCGCTGGGTCGTCGGCGAGCCGAACTCCTCGTTCCCGCTCGGCACCGAGTTCACCGTCGCGACGATCCTCGCCGAGAAGGACGCCTGCAGGCTGGGGGATCGGATGCTGGTGAGCGTCGCCGCGACCCCTGCCTCGGGTCGGACCGCCGAGGGCGTCGTGGTGCTCTACCGCCTCCACGTGGACGACGTGCCTGGTTTTGGGGCCAGGCGCTGGAAGGAGATTGCCGCGCTTATGCCCCGCGACGGGCCTGCGGCACCTGAGCCTCCTCTGCCTGCCCCTGTGGACGCGCCGCCCGAGCTGGACCTTGACGACGCCAGGACCCTGTCCGTGCAGTACGACGAGCAGGGCGAGAGGTTCCGCTCGTGGAAGGAGGCCGTCGCCAAGATGCACGAGAGCTTCTATGAGGACTGGCCCGTCGAGGGCCCGCGCACCATGCTTTGGATGGCGAAGAACATTGAGAGGACTGGAGGCTCCCCGATGCAGTGGTACCACAAGTATCTCGCCGAGAACCGCATCGCTGCTTCGGACCGTCTATCGTACGAGCTCCAGGCGATGTGCCGCCTGCTGGAGCACGCCGGGTGCTACGATCAGCTCAACCTCGCGTCGCTGGCCGCGTTCGAGGTGTTGGCGAGGAGGATGCAGCTGTTGCTGGACGCGGCCAGTCGTGGTCCTGGAGAGGGCCGCTTTGAGGACGAGGAACTGTGGTCAGGCCATCAGCAGCGGACGGCGGGGATCGCCCCGGCCCTCACCGCTCACGTGGCTACCCGCACCAAAGAGAAAGCCGAGATCGAGAAGCAGCGCCAGAAGGCCCAAGAAGTGCGTGCAGCCACCGCCAACCCGAAGGCCAAGGCAGCCGCCAAGAAGGGGGCTGGAGGCGCGGCAGACGCTTAGCTGTGCGACGGCGACTGGCAGGGACCCCGCTGCTAGTCGCTTCTACCTCAGAGGGGCAGCGCTTCCGGGCGCAGTGTTTCAGCTCAGGCTCGCGTTCGCCGCCTACTTGGGCTTCACCTTCTTTTTCAAGATGCAGCCTGAGGTCTTCCCTTTGCCGTCGCTGACAGAGGAAGGGCCTCGCCGTCCTGGGCTCAGCCGAGGCGTGTGTCAACGAGTCGCTCGTCGTCAGGCCATCACTCGTCGTGCCAACGATGCCATCTCAACCCTGAACTGGCTGAGCGGGTGCGGTGGGGCGGCCCCCGAGGGGATATGCTCGCCGGCGCAGGCCGAGGCCGTCCAGCACATTAAGGGCGTGATGGAGCGCTCTCAGGCTGTTGATGCTGTTCCGCGTCCGCATGAAGCCGCACGCGCGCTTCTGCGTTCCCGAGCCGGATACGACTCGGATGAGCACATTGTGAGCGACTACCAGGAAGAGCTGTTGTCGGTACCCGCGTCGTGCAAGGACTGCCCTTATGCGGTCGATGTGGTGCCGGCTGAGGCTGCATCAATGCTGGTAGATTTTGAAGAACGCATGGTCAGGCCTGACATCGAATTTTGGGAGCTGGAGGACAACTCGGAGCCGGTCACCCCCTACATGGACCGAAACTTGTCGGGGGATCGACAGGCCTACATCAAGTTTGTCCGTCGGCTGGAGTCAATTGGTGTGTTGCGGTGGTGCACCGCTGTCAAGGAGCGCGCCACCGTGTTCTGTGCGAAGAAAAAGTCGGGGATGCAGCGGCTAGTGGTCGACGCTCGCCGCAGCAACCGCCGCTTTCGCGATCCCCCCGGAGTGGAGCTGGCCACCGCCGAGTCGCTAGGGCTCATCGAGGTCGACGACGACTCGGAGGTGTTCATCAGTACAGGCGACGTGCGGGACGCGTTCTACCGCTTCAAGATCGATGTGGAGCTCAGCCGCTACTTCGGGCTGCCTCCGCTGCGGGCGGAGGAGCTCCACCTTCACGAGGCTGAGGGGGAGTGGCTGTCGCCGGACCGCTGGGTGCACCCCTGCTTCGCGGTGCTGCCCATGGGGTTCAAGTGGTCACTCTACCTCGTACAGGAGGCGGTCACCAAGCAGGTGGAGGATGCCACGGGCGCGACCGCCGATCGGCGCCTGCAGACGTTTGGCGGCTCGCGCCTGATTACCTCAGGCGGGCAGCCTCTCCACTATGTCTACGTGGACAACGTGGGCTTCCTTGGCGGTCAGCCTGAGGAGGTGCAGACGATGAAGGATTGTGCTTGCGAGCGATTGGACGGCGTGGGGCTGTCCACTCACGAGCACGTCGAGGCCCAGACTCAGTCGGAAGTGCTGGGCGTGGCGATCGATGGCGGCAAGGGTATTGTAGCCACGTCGCTCAAGAGGATGTGGAAAGTCGACAGCCTGCTGACCTGGCTGCTGGACCGTGGAGTTGCCTCGGGGCACCAGCTGGAGTCGACCGTTGGCCACCTGACCTTCATTTTCATGCTCCGTCGCCCCCTGTTGTCGGTTTTGTCTGCGACCTACCAGTTCATTCGCAGCGCTGGTGGTGAGCAGGTCGACCTCTGGCCCTCTGTGCGGGCCGAGCTTAGTGCAGCGCGAGCCCTGTTACCCTTTGCATTTGCTCAGTGGAGATTGCCCTGGCATGGCGAGGTGGTGGCGACGGATGCCTGCCCTACAGGATGGGGAGTTGTCGAGAGCTCTTGGAGTGACAAAAATGTGAAACAGGTTGGGAGGGTCGACGAGCGTATGCGATTTCGGGTCCGACAAGATATGGCTCATCGTGCACACGCTCTTGCAGGTTCTCGAGATGCCCTGGAGGACAAGTTCACCGTGTACGTCCCTAAGGGGACGAATGACCCGAACGAGTACTGGGAGGAAGACCCCCAGTTCCCCGACATCAGCCCCGACTGGATCCACGAGGCCCCCTGGAAGTTTGTATATGCTGGAAGGTTCTGCCGTAGGGAGGCCATTCACATTCTGGAGGCGAAGGGGATGATCTGGGCCCTTCGTCGGCTCGCAAAGCGCCCTGGTATCGGTGGTCGTCATGTCGTCTTCTTGGGGGATAACATGGGCCAGATCTTGGCGTTCTGCAAGGGGAGGGCCTCGGATTTCCAGATGAACATCTGCTGTCGAAGGTGGTGCGCCCTTTCCCTGGCCCTCAACATCCGTTGCCATGTTCGTTGGGTGCCGTCTGAGCTCAATCCCGCCGACGGGCCTTCGCGGCGGTACGAGCCCGGGCACAAGCGGCCGAAGCCCGATGCGTTCGCAGGGGCCGACCCGGCCGCCGCCGGTTCGGCGAGAGGATCGGCGCCTGCTGAGCAACGGGCGCAATGCTGC